AAGAAGAAAAAGAGAAAGAAAGAAAGAAAGAAAGAAAGAAAGAAAGAAAGAAAGAAAGAAAGAAAGAAAGAAAGAAAGAAAGAAAGAAAGAAAGAAAGACCTCCTCCATGACCTCAAGGTTTCTCTGGGCTGATGCACCTTTTTTATTGTTCTTTTACACCAAGAAATATCCAATGCTTCAAAGCACAGTTAAGACGAGGCTGTAACATAGCTAGACTTTGCTTCAGGCTTTGGGATAGCAAAATGGAATTACAGTGCAATAAAGGAGAACTTGAAGGGCCCAGGGGTTCAATCCCCAGATCTGCCCTGCCGGTCCTACACCCAAGGCACTTTGAGACAGCAATTGAGACTGGGTGGTACGCACCTGAAATCCCAGCACTTGGGAGGCTGTAAACATGAGAATCACTGAGTCTGATCTAGCAGTGAGACCCTGAACACCCTGTAGACCCTTCCCTAAAATACAGGGGGGAAAAAGAGTTAATTACCTAATTTCTACATGTATGTGAATTGTTAAGGTCTTCTTTTATGAAATTCTAATTTACTTTCATTGTAATCTTAATTCTGTAAGTTTAATAATTTTATACACAATACATTAAGGCTTGTCTTCCAGACTAAACTATGGTTAATCTTTAACATTACATGTATACTTTAAAATTATGCATATTATGTTATTATGTAGTGTTTCTGATATATTGTTGATAATATTAAATAATATAATTTTAATAATAAAATACATTGAATAATATAATTAATATTTTTTAAAAAGGAGAACTTGAAACTGACTCCTAAATGTGACTTATCTTTAATATCATGGGCTATCTTCACCTCCTATGTTTTCTTTTCCCCTAACTTTTTTACTAGGTTTTAGAAACAGCCTAGAATTCCTTCAAATCTCTTTATTAGGCTTGATGGTGGCCATGTCCATCACCAGACGCCAAGCCATCCAGAGTCCAGTGAGCAAAGAACCTTGCCTCGCCATTACCCCAACCTAATGTTAGCCTCCCCAGAAATAGAATCTTCAAAGACACCCACATTGCTGACAACTTTTGATGCTAAGCAGAGCAGTTTAGTTGTGCATTGTCTTGGTTGCTCTTCACTGATGAACTGCAACTCAGCTTGTCCTTTCACCAAATACACATTTAATTTTTCTACTTTTGCTCTTTAAAAATTATTTTCTTTGAAAACTGTATTAAGGCTTATACACATTCAGTAAAAATCATCCTTTTATGTATATAGCTCTATGAGTTACAAACACAGTCATGCAACCATAATCACCATACAGTATTGTTCACGCACTCAAGAAAGTTTCTGTGTCTTTTTATAATCAACTCTTCCCTGTACCCTCCCCCATCTCAGATAAACAATGGTTTGCATTCTGTGTCTAAAGTTTGGCCTACTCCAGAATGTTATATAAATGAAATATGCATGTAGCCTTTTACATGTGACTTCTCTCACTTGGTATGCATGTTGAGGATCTCCAAACTGCCTCCCCCAGGCCAGGCAAGGTGGTGCACATCTGTAATCCCAGTACTTGAGGGGCTGAGGTAGAAGAATTGCCAAAAGTTCATGGCGAGCCTGGGTTACACAGTGAGTTCAAGGTCAGACTGAACCACATAATAAGACCCTGTCTCAAAACAAAAACAAAACAAGTGTCCCTCTATATTGCTAAGTAATTTTCTGCTTATGACTGCATTATAGTTGACTTATTCATTCACCTGTAGAAGAATATTTGTTTGCAGTTTTTGACAATTATGAATAAAGCCACCATAATGGTTACCTCAGATCTTTATATGAGCATAATCCTTCATGTCTCAGGTGATATCTAGAAGTCGAACTGATGAGTTGTATGATAAGCATATACTTAACATTTTGAGAAGCAGCAATTTTTTTCCAAAGTGGCTGTACCATTTTCCATTCCCACAAACGATGTACAATAATTTTTAACTGCCCTTTATCCTCATCAGCACTTGGTAGTGCCAAATTATTTGTGTTTTCATCATATTCATTCTAATACATATGTAGAGTGATCTCAGTGTGGTTTAAACTTCCATTTTCTAACCACTCATGATGTTGAGCATCATCTCATGTGCATCATTGCCATATCTCTTTCAGGAGAAATATCTATTCAACATGTTCGTACATATCCTTCAGGTTGTTCATGATTGAGTTTTGAGGATTCTTTACCTATTCTAGATAAACTCCTTATTGAATTCTATAGTCTGTCTTTTCATTCTCTCAACTTAGCATTTTGTTTTACTGCTGCAGTTTCTAGAACCATTTTTTATTAGCTTCTTAATCATCTTAAAACATTCTAGGGTAACAGTAAAAACAGCTCTAATAAAGCATAGTCACTATTACATATCATAAAGTGTGTACAAGATATTTTACATTCACAAAGGTATGATACAATACTGGCTTACATCTATAATACTAAATGACACAATTTAAGAGGCATTATTTTAGACTTGATTCTACTTTTCCAGCATATTAATGGCACAGTTTACTTATTCTCTTCATGAACATCAGCTAAAAAACATTTTATAAAAACCTGAGGTGAAAACAAGGAACAGAAAAAAATACAAAATTGATTGAATAAAGACCAGCAATATTCAATCTAACTAGTATTTTACCATATCTGTCATGTTTGGATGGCAATAGCTCCACCAAGAAGAAGAGATGCCAAGTAGCAGTGTTTAAAAGCTTTGTGGAGGGGGGACCAGGGAGATGGTTGGGGCCAGGGAGATGGCACAAGGGTCTGAGTTCAATCCCCAGTTCTGCCAAAAAATAAATAAATAAAATAAAAAATAAAAGCTTTGGACCACAACCAAAACACCATATCATTTCAAAGAGAAATAGTAGGCAAACATCACTCATTTGGCTATGTTGAAGGATGGTGACAGCAATATTTATGTGGCCTATAAATTTTGTGGCTTAAACAACAGGCTGGAAAATCCAAAATCAATGTGTCAACAGATACGGCTCCCAGTAAGTGCTTTCTTCCTGTCTCACAGAGAGCCTTTCCCATTGTGTCCTCATTGGTGGAATGAGGAAGCTCTTCATTAGGTTACTGATACTGTTAGGGGACCCAAGACTCATGAACTTGTCTAAGCCAGAAGTTGGAAGGACCACAACTCAATCCATAGCAGTTTCTCTCAGTGAACATCAATTTTTAATTTTAATGAAGTCTGAGTTAATTTTTCTTTTATGGATTATGCTTTTGGTGTCATATCTAAGAAATCTGCCTAACCATAACCCAAGTCACACTTTCTCTAGATATTTTATACTGTTACATGTTTTTATCTAGAACCACTATTTTGAGTTTTCATATTTTCATGTACAGCCCCATGTATGGTTGGACACTTCCTTTGGTGTGACTCCTCCAAACTTTTTCTTTTAAAAAAATTATTTGGATTATTGTAGTCCTTTGCATTTCCACTTAAATTTTATTTTTTTCCCCGCTTAAATTTTAGCTTTAGCCCATCAATTTCTACTGGGGAATAAAAAAGTCTGGTATTGGGGAGAGATGGCTCAATAGGGTAAGTACTTCTCTGGCGAGTGCAATGGCCTAAGTTCAATCCCTAGTTCCGGGAGAAAAAAAAAAAAAAAAAAATCTGGTATTTTTTGCGATTCCATTGAATTTATGTAAATCAATTGAGGGAACATTATCATCTTGGCAATACTGAATCTTCTGAGCCACAGTCATTAATATTTTTCCTTTTAATTTTCATTGAAATGAATTCATCTTTTGCTAAATTTATCCCTATTTTGTATTTTCCGTGCCATTACCAGGGACATGGGTTTTAAAATCCAAGTTTCAATTGTTGATTAGAGTATATAGCTGACTTTACATATTAATCTTGAAAAATATGCCATTACTAAATTCACCTAATTGTTCTAGTGATTTTTTAAGAGGATTTCTTAGGATATAGAACAAGCAGATACTTAAGAATATGTATACAAATATGAAAACTAATAGTTCAAGGAGATAAACTTCTCTGGAGGCAGGGCTGAGTAGAATTTCGATTGTAGTTTTTATTTGGATTATGTACACATTACTTTAGAAGTAAAAATTAATTCTTTGAACAGTAAGTCCTCTCCAAGATTGTTTGATCTTACTGATTTTAGTTGCAGTTCTTTGATTTAGCGGGGATTTTTTCCTTTTGTGTTTCATTTTTGTGTTATGGTGTGCAAGTATTTGCAAGACCGTGTTTGCTCCCCAAATATGTCACTTGTCCTAGCTGTTTATTGATCAGTTCTTATTTACACTCCTAAGTTGTGGGGGATCTTCAATCGCAGCGTTCGTACTGGGCGTTTCTACACGATCTCCCCTTGCCCTAGTACCTCACTGATTTGCGCCACAGCGAGAACGAGTTCACTGTGGTGTCGAGCATTACACGAAAAAACGTGCTACTTAAGTTTAGAAAAACAAGTGACTGTTGCGCCGAGTGGGCGGATCAAGAGGGGACAGCGGAGGGCTCAGCGCGCACAATAAGCGCTCAGGGTTCAAACGCAATTCTGGGCACGCCGCGCTTCCGGAGGACCCGGGACGCCGCACCGCGGACACCCGCGCGGCGCCCGCCCGCAGCGGGGCGAAGGGCGCCCGGGATCACGTCACTTCCGGCTGCGGCCGGAGTGCTCGCGCTATGACCACCAGCGCCGAGTCGCCGGGGCGACGGCCCGGGATCGGAATCGGCGTGGTGGTGACCAGCTGCAGGCATCCCCGTTGCGTCCTGCTGGGGAAGAGGAAAGGGTCGTTCGGAGCCGGCAGCTTCCAGCTTCCTGGGGGTCACCTGGAGTTCGGGTGAGCATCTCCAGATTCCCTCGAGCGTGCCCGAGACAGAGGCGACGCCGTGCGCGCGCGCGCGCACGGCCGTCCGCGCAGACGCCGCGCCGCCCGGGTTTTCCCGGTCCTCTGCGCAGCCTGTGGCCGGCAGGGGGCGCTCTGCGAGCCCCGGAGGACTCGTTGCGAGCTTCCTGGGCCAGGGGTTCGGCTCTCGCTGCGCACCTGGGAGGCTCTTTGTGCTTTCCTGGTGCTTACGTCCGAGAGAAGCAAGATGGGTATCTGTAACCCAAGGGCCGTCCCGCGTTGTCATGTTTGCAGTTTCCATCGGTAGCCATGCATCCACCCGTCTGTCTCACCCACTGACCGCGTTGCACTTTAACCAGGCGGGTGAGCTGGTAGGACCGTGCGTCAGTGTCCGCATCTTGACCATGGGACGATGCACTAATGCGCCAAGCGCCTTTTCTGCCTTGGCGCCCTCGGACTGGACAATAGCAGGCGCACGGAGAGAGTCGACCAGTTCACAGCAGGGCAGAAAGCCTGAGACGCTGCTAAATAGTGGGGTGTGAAGTGAGCGTAAGGTTTAAATTAATAACAGATAAAAGCATAAAGCACCCACTCCAGCGCATTTTCCCCATTAGTGCTCCGTCTAAAAGTTTCAGAGATACATAAAAATGGAGAAAATAGTAAATCCTCCCCCACCCTTCAGACCCGCTTCCTCTCACTGCTCGCCCCTCACCCAGAACACACACAAGGAAGTGTCACCCATCCTATTTTAGGAGCCTCAAATATCCAAGTATGTACCTCTAACACACTTCAAAAACACAGTACTTCTTCCTACATAACAGTTTTATTTATTTATTTATTTATTTATTTATTTATTTATTCTTTTTTTTTTCTGCGGAACCGTGGATTAAACTCAGGCCCTTGTGCTTGCCAGGGAAGCGCTTATTCCACTGAGCCATCTCCCTGGCCCAGTTCTATTTATTTTTTTATTTTTTAAATTTTTTTTTCTATATTTTAGGGAAGTATCTACAGGGTGTTCAGGGTCTCACTACTCTACATAACAGTTCTGTAGTGTTACCTGGTAGTCTGTGTGGTCCTGCCAGATTATTTGTAAAAGGCCTGTTCACTGTTTTGTACCACCGGGAATCAAAGTTGGAGCCTTTCACTGCCCCTCAATGTGATGTACTCCTCCATCCCCTTTTTTCTCACACCATTTAATTGTTGAGGAATGTGAGTCATTTATCCATTAGAATTTATCCTGTTATTACTATGTTCCAGTCCCCCTGTGTTTCTTATAGATTAGTAGTTAAGAAGACCTAATTCAAGTGCCTTTCAGTCAGACTTTGTCCTTTTGGAAATATGTAACATGTAGGCTGTTTTACGTGAAATGGTTGGGGCTGGCCAATAGCTCAGCAGATTAAAGCGCCTGCAAGCAGACACTGGGGCAGGGTGTTTGATCCCCGTACCCCCAGGGCTCCATGAAATGGCAATTGAAATCTGGCGTGGTGGTGAGCACGCCTGTAATCCCAGCTCTTGGGAGGCTGTAAACAGGCAGATCACTACCAATCCAATCTAGTATTGAGACCCTATAGCCCCTTCCCTGTGAAATTATTCTGTGGTCTTTAAAATTTATAAAAGCATCAATATATATTATTTTCAAATAATTAAACCATTAGTGAATAATGTTGTTTAAAAAAAATATGTTAAGAATCAGATTGCTGCTGAGCAGTGTTGGACATCTGTAATCCCAGCTGCTTGGAAGGCTAGAACAGGAAGGACCACTGCCTGGACAACCATGCTCCAAAATAAAAAATCAAAAGGGCTAGGGGTGTACTCAGTTGTAGAGCACCACCATTAGGTTCAGTCCATAACGTACACACACACACACACACACACACACACACAAATTGCCTACACAGCCATATATATTGTACTATGTTGGCTGTTAGTGACAATTAGCCAAACTTAGATCACAAACGAGGTAGTGCCTATAATTACTAGAGCAAAGGCTGGAAATGGAACAAGAAAGTGCTGATGCAGTGTTCCAGTGATCACAGCCAGTACTGAACTTTGATGAAGTTTTTGCTATGTGCTGAAAATACACCATGCTCCTCACAAGTACCCTTCCACTTGACCTTTTTGTAACTGTACAGCGGCCTAAATGTGATAGGAAAACAAACAGAAAATTTTTTTCCTTCCATTGTCTTTAAATGTGAGTCATCTTTTCCCTTCTCTTTCCCTCAGTGGTATTTTCTATATATTGCTTTTTTATAAAAATATACAATTATAATATAAAAATTAATATGTAGAAGATGAGTAAGGCAATGATCCTCAGAATCTTCAGAAGATTTTTGAATCTTGCAGTTAATTGGAAAGATTCTCATCCTAACTATATATACAGACACCTGTGAACTAAGCAACTGCACTGAAGATGGTAATCTATAATAGTAGGTTCATGCTTGGAGTGCTGGTCATTCTGGTCTTCTGAATACGGGCTGTTTGTCATGACATGCCAGTTCTGCTATGATGTCTCTCGGGTAGATGATTGTTCAAAAAGAAGGGGGTGGTGAATGAAGGCAGGAGACAGGAAAAGGAATGTTGCAGGACTGTCCTGCCACAAGGTTGTATATAGTTAGATTTCTGGACTTATGTGTAAACATAAGAATTATATAATTCTTTATGCCTATTTTTAAAATATATTTTAATTTTTTAAATGTTTTTTATCATTCTGTAGGGACTTAAAGTTCAACATATCAGTACTTGATGAAAAATACCTGTTCCATGTTAGGCCTAAGATGTTTGATAGACAGATAGTGAGGTTAAGCTTAACAGCCTAGGTTGTATGGTAATAACAATAAGCTTCTCTTCTGGAGGATTAACAACCTAAGTTTAAAATTAGAGAAAAAGGAGGGCCGTAAGCACAGCCAACATTTTGGCCCTAGCCTTCCAAGGTCAATTAAGACTCAGGACATATGAGATCTTGTACTGTAATGTCATGTAACTCAGTAGTAATTTTCTGATCAAGAAGATTATGGGGCCAAAGAGGAAAGTGATCAATGATGTAGAGTGTGCCTAAGGAGAGTCACATGGAGAGAAAACATTCTCTCAGGCTTTCACAGAGAGCACATTGGCCAAGCAATGACCGTGACTCGTGACTCATCCACATGGCTGACACTGACAAAGGGTCTACAATCTGAGGTACAGGATCTCAGGATAAATCCTAAGGGGATTTCACTGACCTTATCAGATCCAGAAGCTACAACTCTTGTTGCATAAGTCTTGCTTTATCTTGGTCTTAACCATCCAGCAGAAAGTATAAAAATGAAGTACAAGAAGTAAAGCCATGTTATGTTGAGTTGTTGGGGACTTAGGTCAACAATTTCTGACACTGCCAGTCAAGCAGAAGACCCAATACTATTATGGATTACTGGATTCTTTTAGAATATTTTTGCTGAGTTAACACACCTATAATATTCAAATGGTGGAACTAAACAAAAAAGGGGATATATAAATGAATGTCCATTTTGTATCTGTGTATTCAAAATGGTTAGGATAGATATATAGTTACATTCTCTTAATGAATAGAGGGATTTGTTGTAATAGTGTTTGTAAATAGGATATCATGTCTGCATCTTGTACAGCAAATAACCACTAGGAAGACAGTATGCAATGTGTTAATTATTGGATTTGTCCTACCAATTTGATTTGAAACTGTCTCATTGCTATTCGTCTGTCAATAAAATTATGGGAAAAAATAAAATGAAATGAAAATTGTATTTTGGTCATCCCAGTTCACTTCCACATATTTCAAAGTCCAATCCAATTTAAACCTTCAGTCTCCCAGTTTCTGATCTCTAATGTGGGAAGGAGGAAGAGGCGTTGTTTTGCTTCTTGTCCTCCTCTTCTCACCCAGCCATTTCTGACTTCCCTCCCTTCTCCAGTGACTTGGGAAGAAGGGACAGGCTGCTTATGAGACCGAGGGCTGTTGTCCATCGGTGGCCTCAGTGTGCAGTATCCACTATCTAAGTGGGTGCTGTCTTTCACAGAGTCCATTTGTCTTTTCTTGTTTCGAAGTCCTGTAAAGATTTTTGTCCCTGTTGTGGGTGTCTGACTTTTTTATGGCACCGGTCCCCTGCCCTAGTTCTTGTTCCAGCGTGCTGCTCTGCATTTTCTTCAATTGGCATCCCTCTGGAGATACAGCAGTTGCCCAAAGAAACATGCAGCAAAAGGTGGTTCATACAGGACCTTCACACTGAGCTACATCCCAGCCCTTCTTTTTTTTTTTTTTTAATTTTAAGACAAAGTCTCACTAAGTTGCTGAGTTGCCCAGGCTGGACACAATCTTGTGAGCACCTCTTAGGGTGCAGGGACCTTGGGCGTGTGCCACCATGCCCAGTTAGAAATTATGCTTTTCCACTGCTCCCCTTTGCTTTGCTCAGCCTTGCAGCTATTCCAGCTTGTCTCCTACCTTTTAAATTCCCAGGATGGTACACAATGGAGTATTATTCAGCTATTAAGAATGATAAACTCGAAGCCTTTATATTGAAGTGGATGCCACTTGAACATATACTCATAAGTGAAATAAATCAGACACACGTGTGTAAATATCGTATAGTCTCCCTAGTATAAGCACTCAAAAGAAGAAATACAAATAGACAGATATAATACAAGTAAAAACAAAGCAGGATCTCAAGCACTAACTAATCAAGAGAGGGAAAGGAGAAGAGCTAGGAAACATGACAGTGTCAAGCCATACAGTTATATGTAGAAGATGAGCAAGGCAATGATCCTGAGAATCTTCAGAAGATTTTTTAATCTAGCAGTTAACTGGAAGTATTCTCACCCTGACTAACTATGTATACTGATACCTGTGAACTAAGCTACTGCACTGCAGATGGTAATTTGTAATAGTAGTTTCATGCTTGGAGTGCCTGTCATTCTGGTATTCTGAATATGGGCTCCTTGTCATGACATGCCAGTTGCTGCTATGATGTCTCTTGGGTAGGTGGATGTTCAAGAAGAAGGGGGTGGTGAAGGAAAGCAAGAGACAGGAAAAGGAATATTGTGGGACTGTCCTGCTTCAAGGTTGTATATGGTGAGATTTTTGCACTTATGTATAAACATAAGAAGTATATAATTCTTTATGCCTATTTTTAAAATATATTCTAATTTTTAAATGTTTTTTATCATATTCTGTAGGGACTTAAAGTTCAACATATCAATACTTGATGAAAAATACCTGTTCCATGTTAGGCCTAAGATGTTTGATAGACAGATAGTGAGGTTAAGCTTAACAGCCTAGGTTGTATGGTAATAACAATAAGCTTGTCTTGTGGATGGTTAACAACCTAAGTTTGCAGACCAAAATTAGAGAAAAAGGAGGGCTGCAAGGAAAGCCAACATTTTGGCCCTAGCCTTCTAAGGTTAAGACTCAGGACATATGAGAACTTGTACTGTAACGTCACGTAACTCGGTAGTGTCCCAAATTTTCTGATCAAGGAGATTATGGGACCAAAGAGGAAAGTGATTGATGATGTAGAGTGTGCCCAAGGAGAGTCACGTGGAGAGAAAACATTCTCTCAGGCTTTCACAGAGAGCACACTGGCCAAGCAATGGCTGTGACTCATCCACATGGCTGACACTGACAAAGGTTCTACAATCTGAGGTACAGGATTTCAGGATAAATCCTGAGGGGATTTCACTGACCTTATCAGACCCAAAAGCTACAACTCTTGGTGCATAGGTCCTGCTTTACCTTGGTCTTAACCATCCAGTAGAAAAGTATAAAAACTAAATATAAGAAGTAAAGCCATGCTGTTATGTTGAGCTCTTGGGGACTTGGGTCAACAGTTTCTGACACTGACAGTTAAGCGGAAGACCCAATACTATTATGGGCTACTGGACTCTTTTAGAATATTTTCCTGAGTTTACACACCCATAATATTCAAATAACGGAACTTAGAAAAAAAAAGGGGTATACAGATGAATGTCCATTTTGTATCTGTGTATTCAAAGTGGTTAGGATAGATATATAGTTATATTCTGTTAATGAATAGAATGATATGTTCTAATGGTGTTTGTAAATAGGATCTCAAGTCCACATCTTGTACAGCAATTAACCACTAAGAAGAATGTATGCAGTGTGTTAGTTATTGAAACTGACCTAGCGATTTGATTTGAAACTGTCTCATTGCTATTTGTTTATCAATAAAATTATGTCAAAAAAAATTCCCAGGATGGGAATAAGCGTCAGCTTCTGTATTGTGTGCAAACTGTAGCTGCTAGGGACACCTTTCAGAATTATGCTAGAGCTCTTAGGCTCCCATCTCCATGGCTGTGGTGCACTACGGGAGGCCTGTGAGTTTCTGCAGCTGCTATGGCTGGGGTAGGTCATAACACACCAGTATCTCCTTCTGAGGCACACCCAGTCTCTATGACTGATTCTCTTGGAGGGCCTCTCTCTATTGGCTCCTCACAGGGAGGAAAGGAAACATTTATATTAAACTGAAAACCAACAACTTTCCTCCCTTTCTAAGATCTCCCGTCTTTTATGTAGCCTAGGCAGGATGAAGATTAAATGTCTTTCTTTCTTAGCAAATCATTGAGCTCAGATGGAATTTGTTTGCTCTTTTGCCATAAACTTTAAAGTTTAGAAGGGCTTATGGCTTATTCTTCTCAATTTTGAGACTTAAAATGAAATTCTGAGACTACAGGAAAAGACATAGTAATTTTGATACATTTACAACAACTCCACTAGAAAATAGTATTTCACTTTACTTGTCAAATGTAGAAAGTAATAGACTTCAAGCTCCAGCCTAGGTCTGCTTGGCTGCAAAGCCTGTGTTGCTAGTTAATAAACTAAGCTGCTCTCTCATTGTACAAGCCTGTGAATTCATACTAAATTGGCTAAATGGCATTTTTTTTGCTCAATATGTAGTTCCTTTGGTCCTAACTATATATAAGATAAACAGAATGTCAAAGGTAGGGTTGTTAATGTATTGTTTTACAGCATACGCTGGTAATAGCTATTTTTCCTGTGCATTAAAAAATTTATAAGCAGGAATTTCATGGCAAAAAAAATTGTATTAATAGAATTGAAAACAATGATGTGTTTCCATTTTCCAGGGAGACTTGGGAAGAATGTGCTCAAAGGGAAACTTGGGAAGAAGCAGCTCTTCACCTGAAAAACGTCCGCTTTGCCTCAGTGGTAAATTCTTTTGTTGAAAAAGAGAATTACCATTATGTCACTATATTAATGAAAGGAGAAGTAGATATGACTCATGATTCAGAGCCAAAGAATGTTGAACCTGAAAAAAATGAAAGTAAGAGAACTTTGTATAATAATGCTTTGGGGGATTATGTTATCAGAAGTATTACATTATATGACCATGTGAAAGGAACTGAATTCTCTTCATATTTATCCCCTCCCCAAACTTATAGGTTGCAGTCCTAACCCCCAAGGTGATGGCAACAAGAGACAGGGCCAGGGGATAATCACCCCTGAGGCCTTTGCCCTCATCCAATAGCTTGAGGCTACTGAGACTCCAGGTAGATCCTCACCCCTTCCTCCATTTCTAGATGGAGAGAAAAGATGGTTGCTTGTGAAACAGGAAATGGGCCACCAGCAGACACTCTTGGCCTGTGTGTTGCTCTTGGATTTTTAGCCTCCAGAAGTCAGAAAATTTTCCATTGTCTGTAAGCCATTGAGTGTAAGGTGTTATGCCAGAAGTCCACTCAAACTAAGACCAATGTAGATATGTAAATATATTGAAATCCTGAGGAACTTGAGAAAGCAGACCATTCAGGTTTGTATCCTGGTCCTTCCATTTTATACTTTGTGTTACTAACATCTAGGCCTCTTTTCTTACCTGTGATCACAGTAACCACCTCAGGTGGGTTCTCAGGAGGATTAAATGAGTTCATACATACATTCAAGAACACAGTAAATATAGTAAATGCTTGGTAAATCTTCATTTGTGTTTATTTTTTTAAGGTTGTGACTAAGAAAATTACATGTGTTTTTCTTCATTTTCTCACTCATAAGTGAGAAAACCTCCATTTTATAGAAAATGAGCATGCTGACAAAAAAGTTGTCTGTTACTCCCATGTTGAAATTTTGAATGATTTCATAATAGCGTTGCCTTAAGGCTCCACAAGTTAACTTTCCTCAGATTCTCATAAAATTGTGAGTAAAAGAAATAAAGCTATCAACATTTTTGAATATGTATATTCTTTTTAAAAAGTATTTATTTATTTGATACAGGGTCTCATAGAGACCCAGACTCATAGTGATCCACCTATCTTAGCCTCCCCAGCAGTGGGTTTATAGGCATGTACCACCACATCTGGTTTCGGTGGCTGGCACAGTGTGCCTGGGGTTCTGAGGCCAGCATGGCATGCAGTACAGGGACAAACTTGACTCCTTACATTTGCCAGAGACTGCTGAGCTATCCGCCCAGCCCCAGAGTATGTATTTTCTTTGCCATGTGAAACTATCCAAATGGTCTCGTGAGCTGGCCCTCTGCCCCTAAACATTTCCTTTTTGTCCAGTGTAGAAGAATCCTGTTGACCAACAATACTTGCTGAGTACTTTAAGACCTAATCGTGTCCTGCTAGGCCCCAGCTCTTTTCCACATCAGTGCAAAAGGGACCAAGCCTCTGGCCTGTGAGCCTTTGAGAATGCGCTCCAGTCCCACCTAGACTGAGCAGTCCTTTGTGTAATGAGTCACTCTGCCATGTTCCTCAGGGCTAAGACCTGGAGAGCCCACTTGTTCACTGTTTATTGCACCCTTCCTCCTGCTGACTGGGATTTAAGGGGATTATGTACACATCTCATTGAGGGGACGGTGGTAACCCTTCTACAGACAGCTGGCTTAATACCTGGTTCACCAGCCTCTTACAGTGCATCATTACCGTCTGCTGCCTCCCTGCCACCTGCTCCTCCTGCTCTTCCTTCTTTTCTTCTCTCACTTCCTCCCCCACCTCACTTGTGCAACATCAGTTTCTGATCAGCCTTTCTTATACTTATTTCATTTCTTGACTTCCCTTTTTCCTGTCTTCTCAAGGTGAAAATATGTACCTGTATTTTATAGGCAGAGAATACTTAGAGAAGTGGTACTTATACTAAAGTAAAATATGTATCATAAAGAAACTTATTTAAACCATGTGTGATGGTGCACACCGGTAATCCCAGCACTTGAGAACTTGGGAGGCTGAGGCAGAAGGATTTCTGAGTTCAGGTCCAGCCTGAACTACATAGGAAGACCCTGTTTCAAAAAACAAGAAAAAGAAACTTACTTAGAACACAGAGTTTATGTCTTAATAACATATAATGATATATGTACCAATCATGAGCATCTGTGCTTTCATTTTGTTTTGCCCTCAAACCCAAGCCCTTGTACATGTTAGGCAAGTGTTCTTGTACTAGCTATAGCCTTGGCCCTAGCATCTGGGCTTATGTTGTCTACACTTAAATTATCAAATAAAACAACACTTCTTCTTGGATTTCATTTTTTTTTTTTTTTTTTTTTTGCGGAACCGGGGATTGAACTCAGATCCTTGCATTTGCCAGTCAAGCACTTATCCTACTGAGCCATCTCCCCAGCCCCAATTTCATTCATTTTTACAATAGATACACACTGTTAAATCCTTCTTGTTTCAATAGATTTTTTTTTTAAAATGAGCTCCTTGTCTTCTATCTAAAATATACCAAGGCACGCCTTACAGGTGTCCCATACCTGTAACCCCTATACTCTGGAAAGCTGAGGCCAGAGAATTGCAAATTTAAGCCCAGCCTGAGCAATTTAGTAACCTAGCAAGACCTTGTCTCAGAATACAAAATAAAAACATTCTGGGGATATAGCTTAGTGCAGAGGACCTGTATTCAATCTCCAGTGCCACAAAAATCCAATCTAAAGGAAAATAAACCACATCATATCTATTTCTGTGTTTAGCTTTTATTTTTTAAGATGTGGAAGATACCTTGGAAATTCTCTAATCTACTTTATTTTGTAGGTAAAGAAACAGGTTTTTTTTATGAAGTACAGCCTATAGTATACAAAGTTCTTTGCATTTGTAAGCAAATATTTAATTAAATAAATATTTAAGTGAACACTAATACCAAATTGAAGGGTTTTTTTCTTCTCGCCATATGGTCTTTGCAAACTTGGTTTCCTATTCTGATAGCACAGTGCTTTATATTATCACTATCCTCTTCTTAAAATCTTCATTTTACATTCAAATTATATTTGTATATCTTAGTTCTTCAAAAGCATCATTGTTGGAGTTTATTAGTAAGAGATCACTTAAATGTACTTTTTCTAAATACAGGTTAGCTTATAAAAATAAATACCCATTTTCTTTCTTTTTTTTTTTTTTAAATACCCATTTTCTGCCAGCTAAACATATAGATTTGCCCTCTTTCTTTTCTAGGTTGGGAGTGGGTTCCATGGGAAGAATTCCCTCCACTGGACCAGCTTTTCTGGGCACTGCGCTGTTTAAAGGAGCAAGGCTATAATCCATTTAAAGAAGATCTGAACCATCTGTTAGGATATAAAGGAAATCATCTCTACATGACCAAGAAGATTCTTTGATTAAAAACAAATAAAAATAAAAAGACAAAAATAAGGTCAAGTTAGAGAAAAAAAAATCTACATTTCAGGACAACTCTGTTTCATCAAAGAAGTTCCATGTGATTTCCAGTTTATTTGTATTCTCTTAACATACCCACCATCTTAGGAAAATCATCCTGGAACATGTCATTGAATTGTATTTCAGGCAGAAAATATATAATAAGAGATATTGTGGTTAATCTGCTTTCCATATTCATCTGTGATGTTTACTGGGTGGCCTGTCATTATAGCTTACACAAAGTACAGTGCAGTAGGAGTTGCTCTAGTTTTCAGTTCAAGTAGAAATCCTACTTTAGATATCATAATGCAAATTTAAACCACTGCCTGTTGCAAAATTTATCATGTTTGTTGGTTTTCCTTTTTCTATTTTAAGAAAACTGGCAATATATTGTGTCTGCATCTAGTAAGAACAGGCTAGCTTGGTATGCTATGTATTTCCCAGAGTTCTGAGTGAGACCCTAACCTAGCAAGAAGTGAGACAAACCATCTGAAATCTGTCCTAAGATGGACAGGCCATGTCACTTTGAACGTCTCACTTTTCCTGAGATAATGTCTTTGTACATAAGAGAAAGAAATTGTTCTAGGACAGCGGTTCTCCAAGTGTGGTCTGTAGGACTCTCAGGAGCCTTTCTGGGTATTCAAGGCCAAGGACCTGTTTTTATAATCCTAAAACATCATTTAACTTTCCACTCTCATTCCTTCATCCATCTATATGATAGCTTTCTAGAAGCTGCCTGATAAAAGATTTATCCGCCCTTTGGCCGGAACCGCCATCTTCCAGTAATTTGCCAAAATGACTAATACAAAAAGCAAGAAGAAACCCAATGTATGTTCTCTAGGCCTTTTAGAAAACATGGGGTTGTTCCTTTGGCCACATACATGTGAATCTACAAAAAGGGTGATAATGCAGACATCAAGGGAATGAGTACTGTGCAAAAAGGAATGCCTCACAAATGTTACTATGGCAAAATGGGAAGAGTCTACAATGTTACCCAGCATGCTGTGGGCACTGTTGTAAGCAAGCAAGTTAAGGGCAAGATAAGTATATACCATGCCATTTTATATCCCTCAAAAACTGAAAATCCTAAGTCTGTATACTTAACAAAATGATTTTACAAAACATTTAATTTTGCCAGTGTGCCAACTACTGTGCTAGGGACTTAATATTTTTACTGTAAATTAAGTCTACTACACTTCCTTAATCCCAAATTCCTATTCCAGATTTCCTTATTATGTTTAAAGGGTTTAAATATTTAGCTTTTTGCACAGCGTTGTCGCTTAGTAACTGTATGCATCTTCATTTTACTTGTAGGACACTCTGTGGGTCAAGGGAACAAAGAACAAAGCCAAACACTTCACCAACTGAGGTTGATTCATACTTTCCAATTGTTCACTTCATGAATTTATTTCTATTACTTGAGAACTCCCCAAATGAAATTATCCCGGCCCAGGTCACTGTCCTCTGCTCTAGTTACACCCCACACAGCAGACATCACGGACTTTCCACATCCTTCCTGGTAGCTCCCTCGGAGAGGCTCATCCATATGGATTTGGTCCCTTGCCCTAACCCGCATCTACTCCACATTGTTTGTTGTTTCTTTTGTGTGTCTTGAACTCCTCCTAAGATTAATTTCAAACTTTTCTAAAGATCAAAGATAATCAAAAGGAAAAAACAGACCCAAAAAAATTGAATTCTCAGCTTATTTGAAACATCTGGAGATTACTAACAATTAAAAAATATAGGCCATTTGAAGTAGCACGTGTGTAATCACAGCATTTGGGAGGCTGAGGCAGGAGGATCACTATGAGCTTAAGGCCAGCCTGAATAGACAGTCTGAACAAAGTAATTTTTTTCAAAATAACTTAATATAGCCGCATTTCAGGAAAAAAATTTTAAATATAATTTTCTGTCAGTTTTTGCAAAGCAGCTATACCAAAACATTAACTAGTATTAACTCTTAAGTAGAATGCTAATATTTTTCTCTGCACCTTAATTTCCTGTTTCAAATAGATATATGTGTAGTAAAAAAAAAGTCTACAGTTGGTAAATCAAGAATGTATATACTATTTCAACATAAGAGAGCTGGCAAGAGAACTCAGTGGACTAAGGGCCTGCTTAGGTAAATGCAGAGACTGGGTGCGATCGCGGATACCACATGCCATGCTGTCCCTGCTCCCAGGAACACTGAGCCAGCCACCAAGTCTGGGCATGGTGGCACATGCCTGTAATCCCAGCTCTGGAGAGGCTGCAAACAGGAAGATCACTATGAGTCCGAGCTGTGTAGTGAGACCCTGTACCAAATACATTTAAAAAAAAAAAAAAAAAAAAAAAAAGATGGTTAAGTACCAGAAGTTAAAAATGGTTAAAAGTGACTCCTAGGAAACTACAAATGGGTGTGGTGGCTCACACCTGCAATGCTAGCACTCAGAAGGCCAAGGCATATGTATCAAAAAATAGAAAGGATGTGTGAAAGAAATAGGTGATTTTTCTTCTAAAATTTTTCATATTCGTAAAAGAAAACAAATTTTTATTCAGCAATTACAAAACACTTTTCCTAAGAGTATGGGCCACTGAGAAACCCGTTAGGCTGTGATTACTAGTTCAGATGTTACGTCATATGCATTCACACTATGAAATTGTTTAAGGATTACAAAATGTAAATGGTTTACAGAAATTTCCTACCTGCGCCCAAGGTATATTTAAATTTAAAAAGAAATATACAGCCAGGCATGGCTGCACATCTGTAATCCCAGCATTCAGCAGGCTGAGAGATCTGCTGAGTTCAAGGCTAGCCTGAGCTACATAGTGAGTTAAAGACCAGCCTGAATTACAGAGCCAGACAGTATCTTAAAAACCAAAAGAAATATACAAACAGAAGCAATTTATTTACAAAAATTACAATTACAAACAGTACAAACTGTTCTGTTTCTGCAACAGAAGCCAAGAGATTTCACTTTCAAATATGACACACATTCAGTAATCTACTGCCCTATTCTAAAAAAATAATTCTCGGAAGCCCATTAATGATATGTGTAGGGGTCATGTCCCTCAAATCTTCTTTCCAGAACTATGCACAAATACATCATAACAGGAACAGAACTAAATACTCTTTCTTTCCAAAAGTAAATTCTGACTAATCCCCTAACATATGCCTGGTGGATTAAAACTAAAACCATGATTTGGGGCTTTAAAAGGGAAGTCCATTTTGACTTCTCATGAGCTGTGCAATTCCATCACAGCCAGTATTTATATGGCTGGTCCTTACGCCTCTGCATAAGGCATCTATCTCCTTGCTAATGTATAAGAAACAGAATTCTGTACTCATCAGTTCTGCAAGCTGTCTCACATGCTTTTAATCAGAGTCACTACTACTGCTTGAGGAATCCGTTGACATAACCTCTACGTCATCTTCATTTTCCTTATTATGCCCAGGAGGTTCCAACAAAAAGTCGTTACTGTGGTTTGGTGGTAACATGTTCATTGACATATCATTTGATTGCCATGGATACTGTGGAGCAAGCACATCTGGAGGAAAGAAAGAGGCACATGTGGAAATAGTTCTGTAAGTAATTTACCTAATTATTCTTTCCTTTTCATAAAGAATTTGAAGTAAAAACAATTACTTTGTGGTCCTGGGAATCAAATCCAGGGCTTCCTACATGCAAAGCATGCACTTTATCCTCACGCTACATCTATAGCCCCTGAAGTAAGTTCTTTTTAAGGCTAAAAGCAAAACTATTCATTTGGTGAAATTAAGAAAGGTCATAGTAGAAAAGATCAATAAATGGAAAGTACAACATTTTAGCAAATAGGAAGCTATATTATATATTTAAAAATACCAGGGCTGGGGAATTAGCTCAGCAGCACAAGTGCCTGCCAGGCAAGTGCACGGTCCTGAGTTCGATTTCTGGTACCAAAAGAAAAAAAATAATCATACAACTCTGTAAGAAACTATTTATGTAGCCTCCTGACAAGTTTTTTTTGTTGTTGTTTCTGGTTTTTTGTTTTTTGTAAGTCACATATATACTATTATACATGATTCCAAGACAGACTGGCTAGTAATATAACAAGTATCACACACAAAAATTCAAGATTAAGAAAAGGCAGATTTCTAAACAGCAATGTTTTAACTAGGGTAGGTATGCCAGCTGGTTCAATCTACCCTTCTTCCTGGACCCTGAAACCATGTCTCCTCCACCAGCTTCCACAATGTCTAGCTCTTACAGAAGGCACTGGGGGGAGCCTGCAGGAGGATGGCCTCCCTTCCCCGGCTCAGGTGTTTTATGCATTCACCCCTGCAGGGCTGGTTCTTGTGGTGTGCACACCAGTGGCCTCACCTCTCAGCAACACTCTAGCATCCCTGAAGATGGATTCCTAGTGAGCTAAACTATAATCTTAAAGGGTGGCTGTCCAGGAAGTCTCCCCTGACTCTAGTGCACAATTTCCTGCCTGACAGTACTGGCCTCTGATACCTCCTCTTCTCTAACACGGAGTTACCATGGCTACCCATGAATCAGATTTGGGTTGGGGTGGGAAGAGCCCTTTTTAGTCCGTCCTCTCCTTGGGTCCCTTGTCTTTGCCAATGTATAGTAGCAACTCTCCATATCTGTCATTCTTGTACTTTAAAAAGAATACTTTTTACTCCTTAATAAATACATTGTTAATTCTGTTCAAATTACTAGTGCGGTTTGTCTACTGACTCTATTATAACTATAATGAAGAAGATGAGGACTATTGAAGGAAATTAATATATGTATACACTGACACCCCTAATTTGTACTTTAGGTAGCTAATAGAAATGATGTGTACAAAGCATGTCTAATAACATATGGACATTCTTAATATGCAATGTCAAGCAGAAAAAGGAATACATAGAGCATATTTTTTATGTAAAAATATGAAGAGTAAAAAGGCAATAAGCTAAAATATTTAGTTACTGGGGCTGGTGAGATAGCTCAGTGGTCTAAAGCACCTACTTAGAGCAAGCTTAGCAAAGCACAGGGACCACAGTTCAATC